GTCGATATGTGAAATGACATCGGATTCAATTTTAGAGACCCTAAATACATGCGATGGAGGTCATTTGAACCTCCGATTTTCAACCGTCACAATTTTTTTTTCGATAATGATCTGGAGCCTCTGAAACGTCAAAAAACGTAGTTTGAGCGTTTTTTTCCTTTTTGACCTTTTTTCCGGCGCCCCTGGACCGAGTTTCAAAATCTACACAGCTTTTTCGCCCTTGGCGTACATTGTGTAAAAGTTTCATCAAAATCCGACGTGTTATAATATACAGGGCGTGAACGTTATGATAGTCATTATTTAAATGGGGTTCAAAACGGCATTTTTTTTAGAGAAAAGCGACTTTAAAGTAAACGCAAATTACGACGGAACGCAGTGTAAATAAAGATGGAGTTTGTTATTTTTGGCTCTTAGGTATTATTTCATTACACTGATCAGCAGCCAAAAAATATCCTAAGTAAAATCAACAAAATATTACTATTTTTAATGTGCTAAAACCGGAATGAAACTTATTTTTTCAATATTAGTTCAAATTTTAGAGATACGGTAATTATATGTGTTCCTGCTGTGACAGTGTTAATATACTGTAATTCACAAGAATGCACGTGCTACATTTTTATATTCGGCAAGGAAAGATGATGTAATCGGCATGATTGAGTTACGTTATACATACGTGTACATTATATTGTTTTATATTAGCCATTTTTTCCTCAGTTGGCTGACAGCGTTCATGCAAGATGTCTCGAAAGTGTGTAAACAATCCAGATCAGTTTTGTTACGTGTGTGGTGATGTGACTTTTGCGTCTCAGAGACGGTCTATTACTCCACTAATAACAAAGGCGTATCAGCTTCATTTCGGTTGTAAACTAGATGATCAAGACAAACAGTGGGCACCCCACATCTGCTGTAATACATGTGCTTCAAGTCTGAGGAGCTGGTTAAATGGCAAAAAACGGTCTATGCGCTTTGCTGTCCCAATGGTTTGGAGAGAGCCTACAAATCATATTAATGATTGTTACATTTGCATGGTACCTTGTGTTGGACAAGCCACAGGTATGTCCAAGAAAAAAAAATCGGTTATTAACTACCCAAACATACCATCTGCGATGAGACCTGTGCCTCACAGTGACGAAAATCATATTCCAAAACCCCCAGAATCCTACACTTGCGAATCAGAAAACGAATCAGATCATGGCGATCGAGTGATTCGTCAGGAAGAAGATATGCCATCAACGTCAAGAGATCCTGATTTTATACCGAGCACGTCATGCCACCAACCGCACAAAATAACACAGTCGGAATTAAATGATCTTGTAAGAGATTTATAACTTCCTAAATGTAAGGCAGAGTTACTTGGATCAAGACTGCAGCAGTGGAACTTGTTAGAAGACGATGTTTCGGTGTGTTTTTCGTAAACGCCACAAAGACTTAGAACCATTTTTCAATATGGAGAATAACTTGGTTTTCTGCAGTAACATTAACGGCTTACTGGCGGCTTTAAATATAAACTATAACCCAGAAGAATGGAGATTGTTTATAGACAGTTCAACATTGAGTTTAAAGGCAGTGTTATTGCATATTGGAAATATTTTACCATCTCTTCCTGTAGGGTATGCAGTTCACATGAAAGAATCATATGACAATATGAAGTACCTATTGACATGCATAAAATACGATATATATATATTTGTGGCGATTTGAAAATTGTTGCACTTTTACTTGGGCTGCAGCTAGGCTACACAAAGTTTTGCTGTTTTTATGTGAATGGGACAGTCGGGCAAAGGCACTTCATTACACCAGACAAAACTGGCCTGTTCGTCAATTCCTAGAGCCAGGTCAAAAAAATGTACCGCATATGCCATTAGTAGATTCGAAAAAAAATTTATTACCACCACTGCATATCAAGTTGGGCCTAATGAAAAACTTTGTCAAGGCATTAGATAGAGATGGGTCAGCTTTCCAATACCGCGTCAGAAATTTCCAAGACTAAGTGAGGCAAAGGTTAAAGAAGGTATTTTTGTTGGGCCACAGATTCGAAATATTTTGAAAGATACACAGTTTGAAAACACTTTAACAGGTATTGAAAAAACTGCTTGGAATGATTTCCGTCTGGTGGTCACTAATTTCTTGGGAAATAGAAAAGCTGACAACTATAAAACCCTTGTCAAAAATATGCTGTCATCGTATCAAAAGATGGGCTGTAATATGTCTCTTAAGATACATTTCCTACACTCACACCTGGACTTTTCCTGACAATTGCGGAGCCGTAAGTGATGAGCACGGCGAACGTTTCCATCAGGATATTTCAACAATGGAAAAAAGGTACCAGGGAAAGTGGAATCCTTCCATGCTTGCAGACTACCGTTGGACTCTTGGTAGAGATGCTCCAGAAACGATCCATAAAAGAACAGCAAAAAAACAGCGCATATAGTGATTCTTATAAGTATATGAATCTTGTTATCCCTTTAAGTTCTCCCCAATACCAGAAATCCATCGGATTGAGGTCATTAGATCTTGCTGGCCATTTTCGAGGATCAGGAGCATTTCGACCGATCCAGCGATTTCGATAATGTTGATTCAAATACTGAATGATGCCTCTAAAAATGTGTGGTGGTGCCCCGTCATGAATAAACCACAAATTCTGTCTCCGATGTAATGGCATGTTGTCTAAGGTCTGTTCTAAAAGTTCTGGTAGGTTATTGGCTAGAAAGCTAAGGTATCCTTCTCCTGTCAACTTTGGGGGTAACTCGAAGGGGCCAATTACCTGATCGTCAAGAATACCCGCCCAAAATATTTATTTTAAAACGTTGTTGGAAATGACCTTCACGAATGGTATGAGGATTTTCTTGGGCCCACGTGCGATTATGGAAATTTAATATCCCGTCCCGCGTACAAGTACATTCGTCCGTCGATAGAATGTTTTTAAAAAAATACAGATTTTTTATGTTTTTGTGCAAAAACCACTGACATAATGTTAGTCTGCGAGGATAGTCTTCTGGTAACAAGGCCTGCACTCGTTGTACATGGTAGGGATAAAGCAAATTTTCCCGTAGGATTCTATGGACTATGGTATGCGATAGTCCTACGCGGCGGCATAATTCCCGAGTGCTGATATCTGCATTGATTTCTACGGTATTTAATTTATTTAAAATTTGTTCCTCCTGCTCTACAGCAACCTGTCTTTCACTAGTGCGAATTTTTTTTTATACTCCAACTACCACGAAGGCCTAAGGTCTAAGCACCCATTGGGTACCGTGGGGCTATAGGGGGATACATGGGAAAGGGGGCTGAACACTTCCTGTATCTCGAAGTCTTTGGTACACTTGCACAAATGTCCTTCTGCCTGGGTGTACCCGTTGACGAAATCTGTAGCGATAAATTTGAGCTGCAAGGTTTGAATTCTGACGAGCTTCACCGTAAACTAACATCATGTCGGCGAACTCTTGATTAGAGAACATTGTAAATAAACACGACGACGTACGCGAACAAAAACAAAACAACACGCCCGATGCCCGATAACTAACCACTGTTACCGTTTGCGATCGATTGCCGGTTCGATAAGAGTGAAGAAAGAGCGACGCGCTGTTGTCATGTGTGTTTTAAATATTTAATTTAATGAAACTCACTTGCTTACTGACTACAAATGTTGGCTTACATCCTCCAACACCCTTACAGTGCGAGTGCCAGATGAAGCTACAATTCTAACAGGAGAATTATATGGAATATTGGAAGCTATGAAACACATACACAGTCAAGCGATCCAACGGAGCCTCATCATAACAGATTCTTTGAGCTCTCTCCAGCTCATCCAGAAGATCTACACAAATAATCACATAGTTCTCCAAATTAAACAGATCCTTCACGCGATACAATCAGAAAACCACAATTTTGTTCTCGTATGGGCTCCCTCTCACGTCGGTATCAGGGGCAACGAAAAAGCAGACCTTCAGGCAAAATTGGCGGCAAATCTCGCAAGCATATCTTCTGTGAACATCACAGCTTCAGACGTCAAAGCTCTCCTCAGAAACCGAGTGATTGAAACTTGGAACAATAACTGGCAGAATATTCCATCGAAGCTTCTCGAATTAAAACCTAAATTCGGACCTTGGACTCCAAATTCTACTAGCAGAAGATACCAAACCCTAATCACTCGACTCCGCTTGGGTCACACCCGGATCACTCATGAACACCTCATCACCCAGAGCCAGAACCTATGTGTGAAATATGTGAAACTAACCTAACCGTGAAACACTTATTAGTGCAGTGCCCATTACTAGAACATCATAGAGTGGAATGCAAACTTACATCGATGGCTTTGAGTGACATTTTAGCACCCAATTGTAACATACGCAACCTGATACACTTCTTACAGCTTTGTAATGTACTACATAAAATATAACGTACTGTAACCGATACCGCTAATGGCCAATAGGTCGATGCGGTTTATTAAATTAAAAAAAAAATTGGCTTAGCTTAGAAAAACTCAATTTATTTGTTAATTACCCAATTTAAAAACGTTTTAGATTAGATTATAAAAATTAGTAAGATTGTGGTCGATATAAAGCACTTAAAGTTGTAAACTATAAAGCCATTTAGACAAAAACCTATTGACTTTTGAACCCTGGGTCAAATGAACTTTTTCACTTGTTTTGACCCCCCGCTATTACCCATTTCAATAATGGCTACCATAACGTTTACACCCTGTATAAATAAAACATTAGCGAACAGACCGGCAGAAATAAGTAACATGGTTTTTCGTGATGTACATGTCATACAACATCCAAAAAAGAATACTTCCTCGACTAGTAAAACGTTTCCTCTCAAATTCGAAGAAATCCGCAATCACAATACTTCCCTCGCCTATGAATTTCTAGGGTTTTTAGGTCCATATCGCCTGAATCAAAAATATCGCATATACCTTGCTAACTTTACCGTACTATCGAAATACACGTCGCCATGGTAACCGCTTGAGCAACATACCATACAAACATTATTCCCATGCTAGGGGGTTAGTAAGTGATATTTTGAAGTGAGTTGATGTCAACAAGATAGTTAAAATGAGTGGATCACAGGTAATTATTAATAAAAATAATAACAATTGTTAAGGAATACTGATTTCATACTAATTATCCCGCCGCCACTGGGCGGCTCCGACGCAGTGAGTTTCAATCCATTTACAAGGGTTCAGCTGTTTCGAAACTGACACTCCATTTCTCAATATTTTTGAATGAAATTCATACAGTATGTTGAGAAGATAATTGCCCAGGGTGCTATAGGAGCACTTTTTGAAATTTTGTTTTTGCACAAGTTTTATGATGGGTTGAAGTGCGCACTTTTTCTTTTCAACTTCGCAATTTTTTTAAAAAGAACCTAGTGAAAAAATGAAAAAGTTGCTCTATAGCAGCCTGTGGGGTTTTATTTTCAGCACACTGTGAAAATTTCATCCAAAAATATAAAAAAATAAAGCGTCAATTTCGAAGCGCGTAAACCTCTACAAATCGTATTCTGGACGAATTTTGTCTACTGTTTTGTGCTGCCAACTCAAGCGTTGCGGCGCAATGTACGGACTAAGAAAGGACGTATTCAGATAATTTGGTGGCTCTATTTCATATGATATCGCGTAGATAAGTCGTTCTGCAAATAAAATTTCTAAAATGAGATGTTATGTTTTTTTAAGTCATCTGACATCTACATCACGAAAAACTGTATCACTCGTCATCAACTTGGAAATTACCGCTCGGATTTTTATGAAATTTCCACACGGGGTTACTACTATGCCAAAGCTCTGTAGTTTTAGTCCAGTGGCAACGGTGCTAGAGGCAAAACAGAAAAAATAACAATTGCTGAAACTCCGTTTTTGACGTTTCAGGGGTTCCTAATCATTGACATAAAAAAATTGTACAGCTTAAAAAGGAGGGTTGTAATCAGTGAAACACGTTCTATTATTAAGAAATTTAAGTAACGAAAATCCGCCGAATAATGTGCTTACTTGCTGAGTACCAAAATAGGAAACGATTTACAGGCTAGATCGCTAATCGACATCCGACGCTGTTATACTAAGTGACATATAAATCCGAACACCCAGTTTAAATGGTTTTATTTTAATAAAATTTTGTATAAGTACTTAATGAAGCATAATAAGTAAAGGATCAAAAATTCAAAATGATTGCACTGCTTTAAAGCCCTTTGACCTTTAATAATGTGTGGATGCACCCTGATGTGCTACGCATTCTCCAACGCGCCTAGGCATGCTTCTGATCAGGTGGTCAATGTCCTCCTGTGGTATCTCATTCCAGGCAACCACCAACTCCTCTCTAAGTGCTTCTAGAGTCTGAGGAGGACGTTGCAAATTGAGCAATCTCCTACCCATCATATCCCACACGTGCTCAATTGGGGATAAGTCGGGAGATCTTGGTGGCCATGGTAACAATGTGACATAATTATGTTGAAAGAAGTCTATTGTGACTCTTGCAACATGTGGTCGGGCATTATCTTGTTGGAAAGTTGGATCTTCCAAGGTGTCAAGATTGGGTAAAAGATGGGGTTCTAGAACTTCGTGAATATAACGCTGCGCGTTCATGTTACCTCTGATGAAGATTAAAGGTGACCTGGAACCATAAGCTATAGCACCCCAAACAATAACTCCAACAGTGTGATGAACATGGCTTTCAACAAAAAACTGTGGATTCCTCCTTTCACCACGTCGCCTTCTAACCCTGGCACGACCATCGTGCATGCCTAAACAAAATCGAGACTCGTCATGTAACACTTCCTTTCCGCAAAAAGTCCAGAAAAGATGGAATGCAATGAAGATTCCAACTTTTCTGCACAATCACAGAAAGGGGGTTACCATTAGCTTCCGGTAGCTCAGTCGGTGGCATGAAGACATCTACAGGCGTGTAGCTGTGTGTCGACCATGGCATGGCTAGAGGATAGAAGAACAAACAGAACACAAAAATTTAACAGATTTTATTTAACAAAAAAAAAAAGGCATTTTCATTACATTACAATTTTACAAAAATAACAAAATAAGTTTTACATCTTTGGCGCTGCTATAACGCTATCGACTTATCTTTCGCTGGTCCATTTTTACTCGACTGAAGCCAGGATGGCCAGGGGCTTGAAGGGGAGGTCCCAATTATGAGGGGTGACCTCCATATAGTGGCTTCACAACCAGTTGTAGGCGAAGTTAAAGGCGATGGCGCTGCCAAGGTACATGCATGGGTGAAAATATTGGCCAAGGCTAGGCAAAGTGAAAGGGAAAGAGAAAGGGGGTGGCCCCAATCATTTTTGTCCTATACGGACACACATTCTAGAAAATTCTAGCACATGGTGCTATATAACCTTGTGCTACTGAGAAGAAATTTCTAGCCGTTGTTCGATCGGCGGCTCAGGTGAAAAAGAAGCGCGAGGAAGATCGCAGATCAGGAACTCCGCATCAAGCGCTCCAAGCGGAAAATTTTCCAAGCAAAAAAGCTAGAGATGGGATTAATGAAATGATAATCGAGAAGTGATTTAATAAATACGATCGGACGGTGAAACCGTTACAGTCACTAAAGTCAATACTGTTCCATTCCTGATCCCAGAGTGACCGTTGTCTGCACCACTCAAGGCGATTACGTCGGTGTTCTCGAGTTAAAGGAAGGACCCAGTGTGGCCGGTATGAAAACAAGCCAAAACTTCTCATTCGTCGGTGAACACTTCGCATGCCAATAGGTCTTCCGTGTTCTGCAAACCATTCATTTGCAATGGACCTGGTAGTGGAGAAACGGTCCCTTAAGGCCAATAATCTTAGACGGCGATCTTCACGGTCTGTTGTTCTACGGCGGCGTCCAGTGCCCCTTGCTCTTTGCGTACGGCCTTCTCGAAGCCATGCCTGACAACACCTAATCACAGTGTCTACACTTCTTTGCACTCTAACTACAATTGCCCGAAAAGGAAAGTCCAGCTTCCCGAAGTCCCACTATACGGCCCCTATCAAACTCACTAAGTTGACGAAATCGTACAGGTCTCCGTACTCTAGGCATCGTAACCGATCGTAAAGGATGTCGAGAACCAAAATCCGCCAACGTTGATTCTTTACTGCGGCTGAAATATTCATTTTTAGAGCGTTAGTGAATTAAAAAAAAGCAGTATAAAAACTGGAATGTCCAACTGATAAGGCTGAAAATTTTTTCACTTGTTATTTACAGTAAGATAAATGCATTCACCAACTTTTATTAAAATAAAACCATTTAAACTGGGTGTTCGGATTTATATGTCACTTAGTATATTATGAAAATTTACTTCGGTAGGCACCCGCAGTCATCCTTTTCTCCTTTAAAGTAGCGCTGACGACCGTCTAATCCCAGCCCACCCTCGTTTCCTTTTCACAACCCCGTTACCTCAGCAGATGGAGCTCGTGATTGTAGGAGCCCCGTTAAAGTGTTAAAATTTGGTCATGTCAGGTAGAATTTTCAAACGAATTCGAATAGACTAGAAGGAGGTTGCTTAAATTGGGGCAAAGTTGCGTATTCAGGTAATTAACAGAATGCCGCTTACAAAGTTTATAGTAGTAGGGAAAAAGAAAAGAAAAAAACGAATTTTCCAAAACTATTTTAATTTTCCCCGGACTTTATCTGAAGTGGGATTTGAAAATAAGTTGCACATTAACATTGCCACTTTTTCTCCTCTAGATGACATACATTTTAATATGACATTTCGTCTCTTGTCCTCAATCATCAACTTATAGACGCCATATTGGACTTTTGCACAGACAGAGTTTTTAATTCTGATTCCAACAATGTATAATATACATTGACATTGCCAAATCTTAGTTATTTCAAAAAAAAAAATGGAATTTCCTAGGTAGGCCTTGAAATTATCAGATCATCATTTGTTTCATATAGCAGATTTATCGCAAAATAATTTTTATTTTATCCTGACTTTATTGAGATGGGGTTTCAAAATAAATTGCGTATTGTCATTACCACTTTTTCTCCTCTACCACATGGTGTAGTCAAATTTTCAGTTCGAGGTTTCTTTTTTCGGCTTCCATCATAAACTAATTTTTTTCAATGTTCAACGTTCCAAACCATCTTGCCAACTGAAACTGCACTTCTCCCAATATCCAACACGCCCTTCTCCATCGACACGGGACCAGACCACTCGATGTAGTACCCATTCAAAAAACATGCGTTCTTTCTGACGGACCCTGTGCTAAGAATACTATTACTTTAATTAAAAATGTGAAGTTTATTGTGACATCAAAAATTGTGTTCTCTTGTGCAAAATTTTATTTAAAGAAACGTCCAATTGAGACTTTTACAACGGCTGCTTGTAGATAAGAAAGAGTATATGTAATTTATTTTAAAATCCCATTTCAAATAAAACCAGGAAATAAACTATGAGTTTGCGATAAATCCGGTTTACGAAACAAATGACTGAGATAATTCCAAGGCCTACCTAGGAAATTATATTTTTTGCTAATAACTAAGGTTTAGTAATGTATGGTGTATCTGAAGTCACTTGAAATAGCATAAAAACCTTTGGTCGGCGCGTCCTTTGTAATTTCATGACGTATCATAGGCGTGCGGTCATTTATTTAGAACGATAATAATAATGTTTTTATATCACAATAAATGGATTTTACTATCTTCTTATTTTTTTGATTTGGGATAAAAAATACTTATATTGGGAGTTTAATTTATCTTGACTGAAAGTTAAGAAATGGAAAAATTACAGAATTCCAACGTTAGCAGGTAGGTATATAAAAAGGTATATAAAGACTTACATTATAGGTATTTATATATCATCCTCGCCTTCGGAGCTGTCGCTAGAGTCATCTTGTAGAGGAATTACAACGGGATGTACAGGAGGCAAAACACAATATTCATTTTCTTTTTCAATAATATGCCTAGAACACTGCTTCCATAGGTCTGTGGCAGCAATATGAGATACTGCATCTCTTATTGTGGCCAATAGCGATTCACTTAATTGAGGGGTCTGATTATGTTTTCTTACTTTTTTTTTAAAGCAGCCCAGACCAACTCAATCGGGTTAAAAATGCAGTAATAGGGAGGTAGACGTAATACTTCATGGCCATTTTGCTGAAGCAGATTGTCAACAACATACTCTTTTTCAAATTTTTGTCTTTTAATAAGATCCAATAATATGGCTTTGGTTGTTTTTTGTGGTATTTCCATTCCCTTTTCCTTCATAAAATCAATAATATCTTGATTTTTTGTGTCTGTATTCGGAATTTTGTTTTTCTGTCGGGAATGGTATGGCGCATTGTCCATAATAATCACTGAATTTGGGGAAATGTTTGGTATTAACTGCTGCTCTATCCACTTTTCAAATAAGTCGGAGGTCATGTCCTCATGATAGTCGGCACATGATTCTTTGATATTTTTGGCAGATAACAGCAAGGCATCATTAGGTATAAATCCATTTTCACTTCCAGCATGGAGAATAATGATTCGTTTTCCACGGTTGCATGGTGCATTTAAAATGCACTTGTTGCTGTCGTCAACCCAGCCGTACTGCACAACATCATGGGTATCATACCACGTGTCATCCAGGTAAATAAGATTTCTTTTCTGCTCTCTATAGATTTTAACTTTGTGCAAAAATTCTTGGCGCAATTCAACGATTCGAGACGACTCCATAATCACCATTCTTTTATGTAATTTTTTGTATTGAAAACCACACAGTTTTACAATACAGTGCAGTGAGTCTAAGCATTTGTAAATATAAAAATCTTCAAGATAATCTTTTAATTTATCCCGTATCATTTCCAACGTGGGCACCAAATTTTCTTTATAAAATCCGTATATTATACGACGAATATCTTCCTGAAAACCCACGTCTATTCTTTTTAATTTTTGCCCTATGCGCTTTCTGTGGAAGGAATGGTTGACTACATCTCCCCTTTTTATAACCCGATAAATGGTAGACCGACTGATTTTTGTCAGGATACAAATTCTGTTTAAAATTTGATTTTGCGAGGAATCTGGATTTTCGTTTTTCAGACAATCATACATATTTAGGATTACTCTTTGGGTCTGTTCCTCTAAATCTTTATGAAAGAATTCTGCCTGCACAGGTTCATCAACCATCTCCTCGTGGCTTGGAGCATTTTCCCAAGGTCTCCAAAGAGCCATATTTAGGACACACAAGAACAATCAACACAACAATTAAATCAACAAGTAAACTGAGTATTCAAAAGTCAAAAACACAAACTAATAAAATCTATGAAAAAACACGGACAGACTAAAGAAAACACGTTTATTCACCGCTACACGGCACTGGCTAAACTGTTTCAGTTTTCAGTAGCCACCTGCACTTGTTCGGAGCTTTGAAATACACGCTTTCTCATTGGCTATGTCCACGCATAGGCGTGCTTTACTCCACGTGGACCGGTGAAACTGCCTTTGATCTTATACGGGGGATATTTGCTGCGAAATTTGGCGATTTTTGCAGCAACAGAGCGTGTTAAATATAGATATATAAAACGCACCCGGTATTTCACAGTGTTTCAAAGGACTTCAGATAAAATATACATGTACGACATTTATATTTTTGGAATCAGAATTAAAAACTCATCTGAGCAATAATTCAATATAGAGTCCTAAACAAAAAATAAAATTTATAATTGAGGATAAGGGTAATAACGCACGAGCCGCGCACCGCGGCGGGTGGCGGATGAGCGGTACCGCGGGGAAGTGCGGATTGCTTTACGGAAACCGTCGCGGATGGCTGGTTGTTAGGTTAGTTGTCATGAAAGTCCGCGCGGTCTCCGTGTTCGCCGCGTCCGATGCCAGCGTCCGCTCATCCGCGCGGTTACGCGGTTGCCAGTGAATTGTCTGCCAATTATTCCTACACAAACTAACATCCGCGTGACTGCCATCGGCCGTGGTTCGCGGCTCGTGCGTTGTTACCCTAAAAGACGAAACGTCATATTGAAATTCTAATTACCACCTTGTAGAAGAGAAAAAGTGGCAATGTCAATGTGCAATTAATTTTGAAATTCCACTACAAATAAGGTTAAGAAAAAATTAAAACAATTTTCGGAAAATTCTGGTTTTTCCGTCTCTCTTCGGAAGTACTTTGAATTTCGAAACTTTCTAAGCGACATTTTGTTGATTACATAAATGCGCAACTTTGTCCCCATTTAAGCGCTTCCGTATCTCTTACCGTTTCCAATGGTGAGAGTCGAATTTGAAATACCCGGCATACATACAGGTATATACAGGGTGTTCCTGAATGATATGAGAATATTTAAAATTAATGTTACTTTGCTTTATAAACTATGGGCCAAAAATGTTTCCCTACAAAAACTCGGGGTGTTGAAGTTTTAGGAAAAAAATGGAAATTAATTAATATTTTCAGAACCCCTTCAGATATTTCACTGATGTTTAGTAGGTAGTGAAAGTTAATAATGTTGCATGTTTTTCAATGTAAAAATAACTTCTAGCTTTAACCGGGGCGTGCGTACGGGTATTGACTTCGATATCTTTTAAGAAAAAAATGGTACGCCAATGGTTTTTTGCCACCCCGAGTTTTTGTTATAAAGCAAACTAACATTAATTTTTTATGTAGATTCACACCCTTAAATATTCGCATATCATTAAGGAACACAATGTATACACTCAGCACCAAATTTGTCTGAAAGATTGAGTTCAATGTGTACGAGAGACAAGTGTGTATAGACACATATGTTAGAAAGACATAGAAGAAAAAAAATAGTTTTTTTGTCACCTTACAGGAGCAGTTGATAGAATTAAGCGAACTGCGGCTGAAGTCTCCAGTGAGAACTAAAATAAAAAGAAACAACAAAGTCGCTCAAAGTTGCTCGAATTCAATCTGCTCTACCAGCGACGAGTCTAACATCATCAGCGTTTTTTCTGCAACAGAGCACACTCATTCAACTAAAGGAAATGAACTGCATGAATCATCGATATCTTTGACAGACAGTGTCTTTGTAAAACCCGGATCTAGCGAAAATAAGAAGCAAGACGGCGGGCAATACTATAGACAGAAACTATCGGAACACTTGAATAGAATAAGACAAAAAGCCAGCAGTTCAGCCAATGCGCAACCATTGAAAAGTATCAAATCCGAGGAGATTGATACACCAAGAAGTGAAGAACTAGCTGGATTAAGAAGTAGATTGCATGTTGATGCGACATCGTCCACCGATGGACGCCGTGCATTTTTTGCATTCAACAATGAAGAACAGGTAAGATAACTTGATAGTTTTTTTAACTTTTTTTAAGTTATAATTCTTTTTTAGAAAGAATCCCCCCAGGACTACGATAAAAACGTCTACTACATGTCAGCAGAATGGTTGGACTTCGTCATACAGTCTACCGAAAAGGAATGGTTTTTTCAACCTACAAGGTAACGCCAACATATACTAAATCCGAACACCCAGTTTAAATGGTTTTATTTTAATAAAAGTTGGTGAATGTATTTATCTTACTGTAAATAACAAGTGAACAAATTTTCAGCCTTATCAGTTGGACATTCCGGTTTTTATACTGCTTTTTTTTAATTCACTAACGCTCTAAAAATGAATATTTCAGCCTCAGTAAAGAATCAACGTTGGCGGATTTTGGTTCTTGACATCCCTTACGATCGGTTACGATGCCTAGAGTACGGAGACCTGTACGATTTCGTCAACTTAGTGAGTTTGATAGGGGCCGTATAGTGGGACTTCGGGAAGCTGGACTTTCTTTTCGGGCAATTGCAGTTAGAGTGCACAGAAGTGTAGACACTGTGGTTAGGTGTTGTCAGGCATGGCTTCGAGATGGCCGTACGCAAAGAGCAAGGGGCACTGGACGCCGCCGTAGAACAACAGACCGTGAAGATCGCCGCCTAAGATTATTGGCCTTAAGGCACCGTTTCTCCACTACCAGGTCCATTGCAAATGAATGGTTTGCAGAACACGAAAGACATATTGGCATGCGAAGTGTTTACCGACGAATGAGAAGTTTTGGCTTGTTTTCATACCGGCCACACTGGGTCCTCCCTTCAACTCGAGAACACCGACGTAATCGCGTTGAGTGGTGCAGACAACGGTCACTCTGGGATCAGGAATGGAACAGTATTGTCTTTAGTGACGAGTCTCGATTTTGTTTAGGCATGCACGATGGTCGTGCCAGGGTTAGAAGACGACGTGGTGAAAGGAGGAATCCACAGTTTTTTGTTGAAAGACATGTTCATCACACTGTTGGTGTTATGGTTTGGGGTGGTATAGCTTATGGTTCCAGGTCACCTTTAATCTTCATCATAGGTAACATGAACGCGCAGCGTTATATCCACGAAGTTCTAGAACCCCATCTTTTACCCTATCTTGACACCCTGGCAGATCCAACTTTCCAACAAGATAATGCCCGACCACATGTTGCAAGAGTCACAATAGACTTCTTTCAACATAATGATGTCACATTGTTACCATGGCCACCAAGATCTCCCGACTTATCCCCAATTGAGCACGTGTGGGATATGATGGGTAGGAGATTGCTCAATTTGCAACGTCCTCCTCAGACTCTAGAAGCACTTCGAGAGGAGTTGGTGGTTGCCTGGAATGAGATACCACAGGAGGACATTGACCACCTGATCAGAAGCATGCCTAGGCGCGTTGGAGAATGCGTAGCACATCAGGGTGCATCCACACATTATTAAAGGTCAAAGGGCTTTAAAGCAGTGCAATCATTTTGAAATTTTTATCATTTACTTATTATGCTTCATTAAGTACTTATACAAAATTTTATTAAAATAAAACCATTTAAACTGGGTGTTCGGATTTATATGTCACTTAGTATATAGTAGAAAACACCAGCTTTATCACTCCTTAATCAAATTTGCAGCATAAAAATAACACATGTTGCAATTACAACATATCAACCTATTTTCATTTCAATGCAAAATAAGTCTATAACGCATAGGTGGCTGTGAAAAATAAAAGCCATGACACTTGTTATTAATCACAGCTGTCAGAATACGTTTAAAATAGTTTTGGGTAGTTAAGGTTTTCAAAATGGGTAGAGGAAAGGTTATTAGAGAGAAAATTCGGTTACTGATAATTAAATTTTTTAATTCTGATAAATCAAACTCAGAAATTGCAACTTTGTTAGACTTATCGCGGTACAGTGTGAGAAATATTATTAGAAGATATAACGTAACTGGTTCAGTTAATATTAAGCCACGATATGTGAAAAAAGTAATATCACAAATGCCGACCGAAGAGCATTAAGAATAATCGTGAAAAACTGGCGCGCCAATTATTTACAATTAAGTGCTCTGTGGAATGACGCTTTTGGAAGGAGAATTTCGAGGTCCACAACTCATAGAGAGGCCCACAAACTGTGATTTAGCACTTGCAAGGTAAGTTTTCTTATAAAAAAAGTGAAGTAAAAAATCGGCTTAGATGGGCTAAAGAACATAGACAATGGACACCTCAACAATGGTGTGCAATACAATGAAGTGATGAGGCCCGATTCGAAGTGTGTTGGTGACAGTCGCAGTAGAGTTATTCGCAAAAAAAATAAGCATTCCATGTTGACTGCCTGAAGAGAAAAGTGAAATTTCCAGAATCCATTATGGTCTGGGGCAGTATGTCATCAAAAGGAGTAGGAAAACTTCATTTTATTGATGGAAATGGATACAAACAAATATTTGGCAATTTTAGAAGAATGGCTTTTACCAGTGATCGATCGAAGAATGTTTGACATCCGGCCAAGATTTTGTTTCAGCAAGATGATGCAGCGTGCCATACCTCAAAAAAGGCTATAAAATGGATGGAAGAAAATAATGTACCACTTTTGAAATGGGTTTCTAGCAGTCCAGATCTGTCACCTATTGAAACTTTGTGGCACGAGATGAAAAAGGTTCTACGACAACATCCTGCTCGTACAATCACCGAACTGAGACAAAAGCTTCAAGAAATATGGGATTGTTTTACACCAAATTTTTGCCAAAACTTGGTTAACACTATGCCCCAAAGAATTTCAGCCGTAATAAAAAATAAAGGTGATGTTACCCAATGGTAATCTGTCAATTGTTGCTTTGTTAACTTCGCGCATTCATTAGCACATTGTTTATTTGTTCAGATGTTCTATAAGTTATAGGTCTAAGTGATTTCAAATATGTATTTTTTACGACTAGAGTGTATCTAAAATGTTTTTGAGAAAATAAATTGTTTTATAAGTAAATAGTTTCGTCATGTTTAGTTTATAAAGGCATATTTTGGTACAAATCTTGAAGTGGGCCAACTGAAGTGGGAAGGGTAATATGAATGAACATGTACCAATATGACACAATTTTAAAATATTTTACTTTAAAATATATTTTTACGCTTTTTCATAATCGGTGGGGGCGCCTGATTAATCAAACAAGCTTTCTCCAATTACATTTCATATTTTATCTCACTTGACTTTGATATAAAAAGAATTCAGAAAATACGTTGGTTCTACCTTTTTGTCCAACCATTGTACGTAATATTATATTAGATCCTATTAATAAAATCTAGTGGGCCATGTTTGATTTGATGATAAGAATTTCGTTATTTCAGACAACCTCTAGAAATCAGTACAAAGCAAGGAATCGTAGATCCACCAATGCTAGACGATCAAGATAACTTCAAAATCAATTTAGATAAAAAAGTACGGATAAGAAATATAATAGAACAAAGATTGTTGGCAGATGGTGACAGGTACTAGCATATGTAAATTTAAGTTCGTTGAAAGAAAATAACAAATACGAGGGCGGTCTAATAAGTACTTATCCTCCAATTTTGGAAAGTGGTGATTTATTTCTCAACATCGACAACTTTTTTAAGCCGTCTGAAAACTACGTTTTCTGGAGATCTGCAAAGTACGAGTAGGTCTCCATGAGGGCGATAAACTCTTCATTCGACTCAAACTTCTGCCCGGCGAGTGAATTTTTCAAGTTTGGTAACAAAAAGAAGTGTACTGTTTTTTCGTTTTCGTGAGTTTATTTTCCAACATTTTGAACTAGCAGTCGTTTAATCGTACGATATTTCGAAACAGACGTATACTGTGTTAATACTTTTAGAAAAAAAGGTCCGGGGAATTACATTTCTTCGTAAAAGACTGGATTACGTGACCTACTTATTTGACAAAGTCATGCAGTCATCAATAATGCAGCCATTTAGCATATGCTGCTATGAGTATATTTGGTGTGCGGCAGCAAGAAAGCTGTAGACCTATTTTTCTGGAACATCAAGTACTGACAGTAAAGGAATATATATATATATATATATATATATATATATATATATATATATGAGAAGTAGTCATTGCCAAAGCCAACGATACAGGGTGTCCCAGAAGTCGACGTCAAGCCGAACCGGGTGATAGGCAAAGTAATAACAGCTATCAGAAAAATATTTAAAAAAATTTTATGTATGTGTTTGAAAATTATAGGTCTTTGAAAAAAATATAGAAATTTTACACCCTACGGCAGTCTGCCAACTCTGTTACTACAAATATTAACTTTTTTTGGATTTTATTTTTACAATGTAATGATGAATAATGCATCTTCAAACTGGTGTCTCAACCTTACTGCCAACTTTTCTCGTTCAGGAAAATTGCCACTTATTTCCCAACCAAGTATTCCAAAGTAAAACTTTGCTCAACTTTAACTGGCTGTACTGGAAAAAATGTACTACGAGAGTTTGGCAAGTAACCTTAAAAGTTGGCGCATTAATAAGGATTCCAAAATGGTATAACACTTAGAAGATTACTCGTTACTTATGCACAATTTTTATTTGAAGAAAAACTGATGAAAATTTTCAACATTTCCTAACTAAACAGCGATTATGAAAACGCAC